GACACATTGGCACCAAACTGCCTGTATCATGGAGCAATTAAGCATCAACAGAGAATGACACACTAGCCTAAGGCCCCAGGAGTAAAGTCACCCTAGATGTCACTGTTCTTGTGTAAATATGTTATTACACCTACTGGGGAGATTTAGTTTACTATCAAAGACTCAAGTTTTCACAAAGGGGTCCAAGGGGCTGTTTGGGCTCTTTCATGGCTCCCTATTTCTCTTCCTCTTGTAGAGAGGATACATTACGGGATGGATAATCAGAAAAACTTAGATGATCAGACAATCCAGACTACCCATTTAGTGGTGATGCAACAGAGAGGGTTTCAAATGTAGGGAAACAATAAAGAAGTGGTAACGTACTGATCTGTTCCACTAACTTGAGCATCACTCCCCCAATGTGCAAGTCTCCAGACACTCTCAGCGTGATGTCCTTCTGCTCCTCTTCATTTGGATGGTCAACTCGGACCACGAGCTCCCAAGAAGCAGAGGCAAAGTCACTGGATGACAGCATCTTGGCAAATGCAGGTGTCTGCGCGTAGAAAGACAGATAGACCAGAATGTGAGAAGGAGACTGGGGCTTGCCAAGTAGATACTGCAGAGAAAACTTTCTTTCTTTTTTTTTCATTTTACCCCCTCTTAAAAATGCTGTGGGGTTCCTGATATGAAATTTAGCATCTTAACTTTAAAGACAAAAACTCCTATAAAAATGATCTCAAGCTTTCTAAATTTATGTACTTCACCTTTCCACCCCCAGGACCACCTGGCTATTTACTTTCTGTGCCTGTCTAATCCATTCATTCTTCTCTACTGACTTTTCTTGATCTTCTCTGAACATATTTTAGCAACAGGCAACAAATTATGACAATCCTTGACAATTAAAAAAACTTTATTGAAGTATAATTTGCATACAATAACATGCATTGATTTTAAGTGTACAGTTTGATGCTTTTGGTTGTATGCAAATCATACCTCAATAAAACTGATTTTTAAAAAGAATGTCATTAAAACCTTTGTCTCTAATATATATTAGCAATATTAAGCCAGGACTATGGTGACCCCTGAGAAACATTATTTTTAATAATAAGCAATAATTATGATAAAAACTCTCCAGCAAATGGGCATAAAAGGGAACAAAACTTGACATAATAAAGGTCATATATGACAAACACCATTGAGTGTAAATAATATCATATTTGACATTGAAAAGCTGAAAGCAATTCCTCTAAGATGAGGAATAAGACAAGAATGCCCACTCTTGCCATTTTCATTCAACATAGTATTGGAAGTCCTAGCCACAGCAATCAGAAAAAAGAAATAAAAGGAATTCAAATTGGAAAAGAAGAAATAAAAGTGTCACTGCTTGCAGATGATGTGATACCATATAGAGAAAATCCTAAAGATGCCACCAGAAAACTATTAGAGCTCATCAATAAATTTGGTAAAGTTGCAGGACACAAAATAAATACACAGAAATCTTTTGCATTTCTTTTACTAACAACTATCAGCAAGAGAAATTAAGGAAATAATTCTATTTACCATTGCATCAAAAAGAACAAAATACCTAGGAATAAATCTACCTAAGGAGGTAAAAGACCTGTACTCAGAAAACTATTAGACACTGATGAAAGAAACTGAAGACAACACAAGCAGATGGAAAGATATACCATATTCTTGGATTGGAAGAATCAATATTGTTAAAATGACCATACCACCTAAGCTAATCTACAGATTCAATGCAATCCCTATCAAAATACTAAGGGAATTTTTTCATAGAACTAGAACAAATAATTTTAAAATTTGTACAGAAACACAAAAGACTCCAAATAGCCAAAACAATCTTGAGAAAGAAGAACAAAGCTGGAGGAATCATCCTCCATGACTTCAGACTATACTACAAAGCTACAATAATCAAAACAGTCTGGTACAAGAAAAACAAACAAACAAACAAAACCACCAGATACGCAGATCAACAGAACAGAGCAAAGAGCCAAGAAATCAACCCACAAACTTATGATCAATTAATCTACAACAAAAGAGGCAAGAGTATATAACAGAGAAAAGGCAGTCTCTTCAATAAGTGGTGCTGGGACAACTGGACAGCTACACATGAAAGAATGAAATTAGAACATTCTCTAACATCATATACAGAAATAGACTCAAAATGCATTAAAAACCTAAATGTAAGGCCAGAAATCATGAAACTCCTAGAAGAAACCCTAGGCTGGACACTCTTTGACATAAATTGTAGCAATATTTTTTTTTTGGATCTGACTCCTAAAGCAAAGGAAATAAAAGCAAAAATAAGGGGGAACTAATTAGACTTAAAAAGCTTTTGCACAGCAAAGGAAACCATCTACAAAATGAAAAGACAACCTACTGAATGGGAGAAAATATTTGCAAATGATATGACCAACAGGGGGTTAATATCCACAATATACAAACAGTTTATACAACTCAACATAAAAAAAAACACAACCTGATTAAAAAATGGGCAAAAGACTTGAACAGATATTTTTCCAAAGAAGACATACCAATGGCCAACAGGCACATGAAAAGATGCTCAACATTGTTAATCATTAAAGAAATGCAAATGAAACCACAATGAGATACACCTCATAGCTGTCAGAGTGGCCATCATCAAAAAGAACACAAACCACAAATGTTGGCAAGGACGTGGAGAAAAGGGAACCCTTGTACACTGTTGGTGGGAATGTAAGTTGGTGCAGCTGCTACGGAAAACAGTATGGAGGTCTGTCAAAAAACTAAAAATAGAACTATCATATGACCCAGTTAATTCCACTCTTGGGTATACATCCAAAAAAATCCCAAAACACTAGTTTGAAAAGATATATGCACTCCGATGGTCACTGCAGTATTATTTACAATATCCAAGATATGGAAGCAACCTAAGTGTCCATCAACAGAAGAATAGAGAAAGAAGATATAGTATATATCTCTCTATATGTGTATGTATATATGATGGACTACTACTGAACCATAAAAAAGAATACAATTTTGCCATTTGCAACAACATGGATGGACTTGGAGGGTATTATGCTAAGTTAAATAGGTCAGACAGAGAAAGCCAAATACTGTATGATGTCAATTATATGTGGAATCTAAAAAAATAAAACAAGCTAGTGAATATAACAAAAAGGAAACAGACTCACAGATATAGAGAACAAACTAGTGGCTACCAGTAGGCAGAGAGAAGGAGGGAGGGGCAAGTTAGGGGTAGGGGAATAAGTACAAACTATTATGTATAAAACAAATAAGCTACAAGGATATATTATACAACACAGGGAATATAGCCACTATTTTATAATAATTATAAATGGAGTATAACCTTTAAAAATTGTGAATCACTATATTGTATACCTGTAACTTATATAATATTGTACATCAACTATAGCTCAATAAAAAAGCAAAAAAAGAGTATAAGAAAGCAGTACTTAAACAACCAGTGTTACACCAGTTTTGTGTTCATACGAAACCGTTCACATTTGTAAGCGAAACAGAATCACAAAACATAAAAGCTGCAAATCTAAATAGGTTTAGGGCAGATTTCATTTGTTCGAATCAAACTCAAGAGTTCAGACTTAGCTCTTTATGTTCTTATGACTAGAAGGATCTCAGTGATGTAACGCTTGCACCTCCCAATGCACAGAGGCACCCATAAAGACCTTCTGCATGGGCAGTGCTGTGCAAGGATTATACTGGGCCTAGCCACTCGCCTCACTGTCATTAGCCTCAGGTATCATTTATCATTTACTTATCGAGTAGTTATCTGTGTTAACTACTATCCTTGTATTATCACCTTCATCCTCTCAGCAATCCCATTTAGAGATGAGGCAACTCAGGCTCAGAGAGGTTAGGGAACTTATCAAAAACCACACAGCAAGTTAAGTGGTGGAGTGCAAACAGAAATCCAGGTTCTAACTCCAAACTCTTAACCACCACAGCGGGACACGTCTTTGGTAATGCTGCAATGCCAATATGAAATAAAACATCTTAAAACCATATGAACTTAAATTTCAGTAAGCATTTCTACTAACATAGCTCTTTCCCAGTGAGGAGACAATAAAGATACTTCCTTCACATCCAAACTTAACATGGCATTGAAGTACTTGACCTTAAGATCCTACAGTTTCTAAAATAGTATGATTTGAGGTTAGTTATTTAAAGTGTTTTGTACATAAAGAATATAGCCTTTTCTTTTTTTTTTTTTTTAAAGGTGGCTCCTTACTGCTTGTTTTGTGAGCAGAGAGTTCTTTTCCTAACCTGGGCAATCAAAACACTTCTCATTTAGGCAATAGATGGTGATTTCCTTACAACGAAATCAGGTTAAAATTAGACAGTCTGGTTTCCCCACATTCCTCTCCTATCTTTCTGCGCCTTCATGTTTGAGTGCACCTTGTGCAACAAGCTGTTACTTGTTGAGGAAAGCAGCAAACTTTAACTGGGAAAGCACATCTAAGTTAAAGGACAGGAAGAAGCAGCAAAGCGCGCCAGCAGACCTGCCTTCCCTGGGAAGCCCAGGGGTCCACTTCATTGTGTTCTTTACAGGAAACTCAAGCAAGACTGACAGAGACAGGCAAGCAGAGAGACTGAAAGACGGGAAATCGCCCCTGTTGCTTCCCCTGGAAGATCACAAAGCGGGTGGGTTCGAGGGCCACTCGGCCTGACTTTTGCCAGCTCCGCAGGGTCCTGGGGCCCAGAGGAGTGGGGTGGGTGGGAGAAACCGCCCCTTACCCCCGTGAAGGCAGGACCCGCTGCTGCGAGGCGAGACGCGCAAGGCCCGAGAAGGTGGTCACAGCTGAACATGATTTTAAATTCAGCAGCTATTAAGTGCAAGCACTGCAGAAAGGACGGGGGCAGGGGTCTCTAGAACCAGCGTTGCCCGTCGCAGCCGCCCCCGCCCCGCCCGGGCCCCTCGGCACCCACCTCCCT